ATGGTTCATAATTGATAATTTTATTTTTAACAAATTATAGTCTACAGTAAGAAATCAACGTATTTTCATACAAAATTTTGACAATATGGTAAGTTGGTGTAGTATTTTAATTATGTGGGTACTAGACTCACCATTTTGGCACATGTGTAGTGTAGTGTTACAATTATGTGGGTGTTTTGCCCGGTGTATTGCATTAACTTTAATTTAAAAATTTTATTACTAACAACCAATCTTTAACTATAGTATAAAATTAATTACTTTATAAAGTATGTCTAATGATCTTGCAAGACTGTTCTAAAGATACGTACTTAAGGGGCATTACTTTCATCTTGATTTTATGTGTATGATTTTACATTTTGAAACCATTTAACCGTGAGAAATTTGATATATCTAGACATATGCATTGAGTCTTTTGTGAAAACTCATAAAATTAAGTGATAGTCATTTTATTTTTTCTTAATAAAGTGTTTGATTATGAATAAATTTGATCTCTTCTTGGTTAAAAAAAATTGTAAACTTTGTTTAATTCTTTTTTTGAAATTTTAATTTGATGTTAATTACCTTACTATATTCTACTCAATGTTTCTTATTTGAATGTAATTTGCATGCACATCGCACATTGAATCATATTAACAATATTGTTAAATATACTTAGTGAATCTGATTTTTTTACTTTCAGTCTTAACATGTTAGAGATCCACACGCCAACAATCATCGTTATAGTTATTTGAACCAACAACTTTCGTCTCAAATTATAGAAGAGATACCACTCGAATATTTTTTTTTTTTTTTTTTCCCCTGGCAAACAAATATCACTTCATAAAAACATAAAAGAAGTATATGAATCATCCCTTACTAAGGCAAGGCGGTGGTCCTGACCACATACAGAAACTTAGCAAAAGTAAAAATAAGCATACCCTACAACATAATATGAAAAGATAATCCTTCATATTGCAAACTAACTAGTATTGACCAAGTAGCTTGCCAAGGAGCCAGTATAGGTTGAGAGCTAGGGCCACGTGTACAAATAGTAACCCTAAAAGCGTTGCTCATCTTCTACGCACAATTGACCAAGTCATAAGTGCCTATAACAAGTGCACAGTACTTCTCATTGATAGAGGACATGAAATGACCGCCGGAACCCAAGATGACAATGACGTGTTCGTCGGCGATACCTGAGCAGCGAAGACACCTATGGCCACAACAAACCTCTGCCAATCCCAAAAAGCATCAGAAAATCCATGAACCAAAAGCTTGTCCATTGTTGAAAGGTGTCGTATAACACCCATCCGTAGTTCAAACTCCATGGTGTGAGAAGGAGGCACATCACTGCCGAATGGTGGATCCGTCATGGAAACCATAGAGAGGTAACACTCGAATGGAAAGAAACAAAGGAAGTCCAATAAAGAGGGTAGGATCCAAAACAACACAAATAACAATTTAGCACCAAAAAGGAAAATAAAATCACTGTAACAATACCTGGATCAAAAGGAAAGAGAGGAAAAGATGAACCTAATGAGATTGCCAATAATAAAAACCAAGTAATGACACAACCCCCAGTAGAGATTCGGTATCGATGTAACTAAGCCGATAAACCGATTTGATCTTTTATAGGATACATTGATAATATTAGGAGAAAACATGGAACCCAAAACAAAGAGATTGAGACCAGAAAATGATGGACAAACAAACATAAGGTCCAAATTTGAGAGGTAAGGCCACACCCAGATATGTAGATAGCAAGCCCGATGAAAGAAACCCACATGATCCCAAGGTTGAAGAAACCCATGAACCCAGAGACCACCCCCAGGATCCCATGGCTGAAGAACGACGACAACCTGTACCTTAGCCTAAAGAACACCGAAAACATCCGGCATTCCTGTTTTAACACCCACCCAAATCGAAAGATACCATAGACAAGAACAGAGCCAAGAGTAGATCCATTCTCTATCCATGACGTCTCGACATAATGCGAGAAACTCTGCACTTGCAGAGAAACTTCTACACAGAGGAAGACATCCACCACTCGAGTTAAGTTCTGTGATTAATAAATTCATATTTTTTAATTATATTTTTTTACCTATCGACATAATAAAGAGAGACAACATTAAGTAAAGAGAAGATTTTCAATTGGGACAAACATCCCACTCAGATACCCTTTTTACAGAGAAGTGACCATTTATCAAGTTTATGGGCAACTTAATAACATTGACAAGGAACCTAATGTATAAGACAAAACTTAGACGTTGTTGACAAAAAGACCACATCGTCTAACTATGTAGAAACAAAACATAATAGACTTTTGGTCCAGTTTCATATCAACATAATTATAGCCCCAGTTACGAATGAGTTTAAAACTCTTTTTTTTACATATTTGTTTCAGCTTGAAGAGCACTTTGGATCATTTGACAATAGAAATGGGCAATTCTAATTGGAAGACCTTGATGGACCCTAAGGATACACCCACCCCCATATTCCAAAGAAGTATGATTAAAAAAAGTATCTGTATTCAATTTCGGATGCCCGGAACAAATGAGCAACTTAGTAAATGAGAAAGATGAAGAATATTGAAACGGTCATCTTTTTTTAAAACCTTCTTGAAATTATTAAAATTAATTAAAGCTCTGCTGGAATTTTTTGAGGATCCTATTTCTTACCATTGAAAACTAGTTATTCCTACTATGCCAAATTTGCCAACATGAAAAATAGGCCATACAAAATAAATCATCTTGGCTTTGTTCCATTCAGACGACCATAATTCCATTTATGGTTTCAAGTTGGAACTGTATCAAGATCCACATCAATTTTTAAACTCAAACACTAAACCACCTTCGTAGTAGAATATTGACAGAGCATATGAAGAGTTGTTTCTACACCAACACCACAGAGATTGCATGTATCTTCATGGATGATTTTTTAAATTGTGAAGAATATGATGTGTATCGTGAAAGCTTTGTTGTAAAAAGAAATGATTTTTTTGCTTGAATGAAATTTCCATAATTGCTTCAAATTATATTAAAATTCTTGCATCAAACTACAATTGGCTTATGCAACACGGGAATAAGGATGATTTAACAACAACAACGCAATCTTGCATACATTTCGAAAAGGAAGCCTTACTATTGCACCAAATTTGCCAACATGAAAAGTAGATTGTACAAAATAAATCTAATAGTATTGTTGGCTTTATTCATTTCAACGACCATAAAATTCATTTATGGTTCCAAGTCGAAACTGCATCAAGATCCACATAAATCCTTAAAGGACTCAAACGTTGTAGTAGAGCATTGACATGCATATGAAAAGTTGTTTATGCACTAATACTATACCATAAACTTTGCATTATCTTTGCGAATAATTTTCTTTGAAATTGTGAAAAATATGAAGTCTATCTTAAAAACTTTACCATAAAAACAAAAAAGGTTTTTTCGCTTCAATGAAATCTTCCATAGTTGTTTCCAATTACACTAAAATTCTTGCATCAAAGTACAATTGGCATACGCAACAAGGAAAGGAAGGGGATTTAATAACAACAATGAAATCTTGCACGAGTTTCGAACAGAGAGTCATTCTTAGTGCGCCAAATTTGCCAACATAAAAAGGACGCTATACAAAATAAATCAACAATATTGCTGGCTTTGTTTCATTCAACCGATCATAAAATCTATTTATAGTCCTAAGTTGGAATTGTATCAAGATCCACATCAATCCTTAAAGGACTCAAATGTCAAACCACCTGTAGTAGGACCTTAACATAACATATGAAGAACATCGCATGCAACGAGTTCTTTTTGCACCAACTCCACAAAGTTTGCTTGTATCTTTGCGAATGATTTTCCTACATTTCAAATTGTGAAGAACTGAAAGTCAATCATGAAAATTATCATACAAAGAAAAGAAATTTTCATTTGGATGAAACCTTTTAGAATTTTTTTCAATTGCACTAAGATTTTTCCATCAAATTACAACTAGCTTATGCAAAAAGGAAAGAAGCTATGATCTAACAACAACAATGCAATCTTGCACGCGTTTCGAAAAGAGAATTGCCCATTAGAACAAGGACCCCAAATTTTCACCTCTTCGTCTCCTGTTCCCACAAAATTGTTCGATGAGCTGGACATCTCAAAAATTAAAAACGGATTGCACAAGGTTTGGACTTTATGATTTTAATTCCTTATTATCGAAATCTATTGCTTGGAAAAAAAAGGCCCCTTCGACGCGACATGACAATATGTTGAAAGATTAGGATGTCTTTTGACTTAAATATTATGATGAAAAGCTGATTTGCATTGGATTTTTTCTTTGTCCTCAAGTAAAAAATATATATATGTACAATGTTATTGTTTTCTCTTTTTTGTATTTGAAAATATTTATTGAATTTATAAGAATTTCAAAATACCCGCTGAAGTATAATTTTTTTATATTTTATTTTGAACTTAAATACTAAATAAGACCTATATTACAATGAAATGAAAAAAGATAAATGAGTGTCACGTATCACTATTCGAATTATTTTACCTAATATAGGTAGCACTAAGAAATTTTTTACATTTAACACTCGCATTGTTTTTTACTTAATAACAACTTAACAAGCGTATTGTTCAATGTAACTGGTGGGTAAATAATGTCACTTCTTTTATAAATATATATATATATATATATATATATATATTAATGAAGTTTTATTTTTATTTTTATTTATTTATTTATTTTTTAAGAAAGATCTGCCTCAACCGATGCTAAAATATAAAAGAATGAAGTTAATTCCCCAAAAGTTGGATAATTAAATTCAAAAGTTAAATAATTAAGTTTTGGAGCGCTCATTTTAATAAATACGTTAACAAAGAAAGAAAGTTATCCGGTACTATCGTATCGTCGCACCATCATGAAAATTTGCTCTAAACCAAGTACGATTATTGGCCCAAGTAACATGTCAATTTCAGGTACATAAAAGAGAAGATATTTACAGGTCTACCCTTATGACTAAAGACCCAATGATATAAGCCATTCAAAATACTATATTAAGAACTTCAAATTACAAATCTACCCTTTGGACGAAAACACAACAATAATGTCTACTTGAATTACACGCTAAACATCCTCACAATGTCAGGAGGACATGCTATTCTCACCTACGACAAAACGCTACAAAATACAAAACAAAAGTCATCTAAACCTAAAAGTACTTTAACCAACACAAAAACTAGTACAATTACGATAATCAAACATTCAACATACACACATTGCTCTATCATCCAACTTCACATTAGAGACTTCAATGATCTAGCTTTAATGGGCTTTCGGCCTCTCTTCTTCCCTATTCCACGATTCTCATCCTCATCATCATCGTCGTCATCGTCCTCCTCTATATAATCAAACACTTCGTCATCAATCTGATGCGACGATGATGCTGTTGTGATTTCGGGCTCAACTACAAGCTTGGTGTCACTACTAACATTAGCTACTTCCACAGTGTTACCTCTCTTCTTGCCCCAACGCGGTCCAAATCCGGAGTAATAGTAAAATTCATGTGGATTAGATACAGAAGCCTTCTTTGTGCGAGGCCGGCGACGAATTGCCGCGCCTTTCTCCGAGGCCTTATCGGATTTTTTACTACCGGGATGAGCCAAACTACTGTAATTCCTGAGCTGGGCCCAATGATGTTCACAAAGTGAATGCCCTTCTTTCGCTACCCTCCTACATTGCCAACCCTTTCCATCACTCTTACAGCACATAATAGCCTCAGCATTTTCCAACCCCAGATGGCCCTCTCTCTCGCCAGAGAAAACCCGGCTCGGACCATCCTCTTCCTTTATCTCCTTCTCTTCCTCCACCGATATCTTCATCGACGCAACGCTGCAATGAATGATGTATTTCAAGAAAATGATGCACAGACTATCTATACAGTATCGATGAGGTGTTGTTTGATTCAAATTTTGAGTAATCAGAGCTCTATTGTTTACTATTAGGAAAAAAATCAAACGGGTTATCGATAATAGAAACCCTAAAACGCCTGTAACAGATTGAGAGCAAAGAAATCGATGAAACGATCCGAATTAAAGAAAAAGTTTTCGGGTTACCTCTCGACAGGTCCTATAGAGTCTCCTAAGCTCCCATTTCCTGTGAAGCTATCGTCTATATCCACCTGCATAAATGTTCATCGAAGTCGAAACCAAACGGGTATAAAAGCTATACAGTCAATAATAGAGAAAAACAAAGACGACCCATACGAGTAATCGAGTATTCGAGTGTGGATACACGACGGAAATGGTGGGATTCAGGGTTTTTGCGAAACCCTAATAGTGGGGTTCGCAAAAACCCTAGACCACAGAACAGAAAATGCAGGTAAAGTAGGGATATGTACAAAAAGGGTTTTTGTAGATCTGTATGTTTATAGATATATGGTGTATAGAAAGTGTGAGAGATTGAGGGATTGAACTAACCTGGTATGGAGATGTTGATGCTGAATCAGGTGGGAAGTTTATCACATCCCATGGTGACTGGTTGAGCTGACACACATGGGTCTGAAGAAGCTGTCGTTGAGGAAGGAGATAAGAGCCTGAGGTTTGCGAGAACAAGTGGCCTGAGATCTTCGCATGCTTTCTGATTCTCATGGTTTTGAAGCAGAGAAGGGGAAGAACGGGAACGAACGAAGACGGGTTTAGATCCAAAATGTTTTTTTTTTTCTCTCTCTCTCTCTCCAAAACTGTCTCTATATATTTTCTCTCTCTATCTTTGTTTAGCAGATCTCGCAGAACTCGATAATGAGGGTTTCTTAACTTTCTGTTGCTTTCTCGGCCCTTCATGTTGCGTCTCTAGCTTAAATTACAATTTTACCCACGATTTTTTCTTCTTATTACGCATGTCATAAAGGCATCTGGCTGTTACACGTCATGAAAGTTGTCCAAAAGCTAGTTGTTTATTGGATATAGTTGGGCTAAGGGTAGTTAGGTCATTTCACTATGGGTGATGTTATGCGTGTTATATATGATTTAAATACATAGAGTTCTATATACTACTCTTACATTACAAATTACATTTACATGCTGTCTTCCTTGAACAATGGGACGTTATGCCAACGCGCGGGTGTGAGGAAGTGGCAAACACTTGTGGCCCACGAAAAGAAAGGGACTTGATGGGTTGATGATGAGGGAGTTACAGTTTAAGTCAAGATATGGACGGCTCTGATCATGAGTCTGATTTTGGTGAAGTTCATGATGTTTACATAGAATTGGATACCATAAGTAGGTACAGTAATAAAGTTGGTGTTTACTGTTTTGTAGAGCAATACGTGTAACTTGGAGATAGATCGTAGTAGTACAATTATTTAAGTTCATAATGACTAATTATAGGAAAAGTTACTGTTCAACTCATATGCAGTAATTTTTATCTATATCTCTATATGGCAAAGTTAGTATGGTATGTGGAGCTTTTGGGTGCTGCAATGGTCAATGTATAAATGAAATTCATGACTTGGAATTCACGAATCAGAGGGATTGTTTTCAAGGGTTTCTGGTTTGAGAAAAGTTACTTTTTCTAAAAATAAATAAATAAGGTTTTAATATTTTAATTAATGAAAGTCACACTAAATAATGTCCCTTATCAGCTAAGCTTTGGTTTATTTCCAATGGTATAGGTACAATTTTTTTTTATGTTCCCTTATATAGTGTTGCGTTAGACCATAAAAGTATAGCCACGTTGTACCACACTAGCAACAACATCACAGACAATTTCGTCTATGGTTCAATTCAATTTGAAAAAAAGAAGAGAAACAAATACCACAATAGTAATAAATCTTAACTTTTATATATATTGTCGGCAAAGAAAGAAATTTGTTGATAATCTTATAACATACAATTGGAGAGCCATCTAGTCATACATTTGTGGCGTGATGCATATTGACTCAAGGGTGAGTTATAATATTACACTCCCTATAAGCAAATTGAACTGAAAATTAATTTAAAATATGCATGTAGCTGTTTTTTTTTTTACAAGGTAAGAAGAGTTAGAAATTAGATTAGTAGGTGGCACTCCCAAAATCCACCGGAGACACTAATCACTGGGCTATAAATACACTTTCTATAAACAAATTGAACTGAAAATAAAATTAAAATATGCATGCAGCTCTTGAATTACATACTTATAAAATTCCACTATTGTCCCCATTGAAATTACTAAAAAAAATCACTATTAAATCTCTCGCAGAATTTTCTCGGTCTATCCCAAACTGGTACTTGATATCTTCTAGCACGTACAACTAATTTCCCAGCTGACATACAATGATCCTCATTGATCTTTTTAATAATAATTTTAGCAACGCCCTCCGTGATAAGCTTCTTGCAACACTTTTAAGCAGTAACCAATGCAACATCATCTTCTACAAATGGAAAAAAAGGACAAAACTATAAATACATAATAAAAATCCTTCACAATTGTGAATCACAAGATAAACCATGTTGAAACACAAAATTTAGTGTCAGCATTACCCTTTAGCTATTCCCGTGGTGGTGCCACCCAACATAATCCCTGAGTTTTTTCAATAGAGAAAGAGGTCTTGAAAACTCCTCAAACTTCTTATAGCTAGTATTCAGCTACAGCATTCTGTATCACATCAACTTCAAACTATACATTTTCAGTAACAAATAGATTATTTTGAGATTTTTTTAACACTCGGCCATGAGGTATTTGTACATTCGGTATATAGTATGTTTTTTTGCACTTTTCTCTCTATTTTATAATATATACACTTGTTTAATTTTGATTAATAAAGAATATAAATTACCATATATTACAATACATATGATCGTCGTGTATGTGTGTGTGTGTGTGTGTATATATATATTTCAAATTTTCATTTTCATTTTATTACTGTTTGTATATTTGCATATATGGGAAAGTGCAAAACTGTAGAATGAAACCAAATCCATCACTATGGTTCGATTGAGTGTCAATGGGTCTGCTTAGTTGTGATCACTCACGAAACAGTTTTAAGATAACTGCTATAAATGGCAGTCTTTAAAAGTATGCATTTTTTTAACTCAATTTTCATATAACAATTCTAAGAAACAGTTAACTAAGCATGTTTTTATACAGTTTGCCCATTAATATTTTTGGAATAGTTAGAATCAGTTTGATTCTGATTCGTCTTTGAGCCGGACCAAACCGAATGGTGTTGTAACGACCCACTCCACCACATGATATGGTATTGTTCGTTTTGGACCTGAGCCCGCACGGTTTTGCTTTTGGGCTTTACCTCAAAAGGCCTCATATCAATTGAAGTGACAAATTTACGTATAAGCACTTCACCTTTCTCTTTCCCTTTCCCAGGCGAAGTGTGATTGTGCACCCGTAACTCGCCAATATGATAGTCTGTCAGTGTCTCGTACCCGCCCCACAGGGTCATCACAATCCATCCCCCTTGGAGGCTCGACGTCCCTGTCGGCACACTTCCGGCTGGGTTATGCTCTAATACCATTTGTAACGACCTACTCTACCACATGGTATGATATTGTCCGCTTTGGACCTGAGCCAGCACGGTTTTGCTCTTGGACTTTACCCTAAAATGCCTCATACCAATTGGAGTGACACACCTACATATAAGCACTTCACCTTTCCCTTTCTCAGGTGATGTGGGATTATGCACCTGTAACTCGCCAGTGTGGTAGCCTGTCAGTGTCTCGCACCTGCCCACAAGGTCATCACAAGGACTTATCTATTCTTTCTATTTTATTTCAAAGTAGGATATTTTTACTTCAGTAATTATTAAAGAATTGATGGATAGTGGGTTTTGGTTAAAAGGTCCTTGAGTTACGGGATTCCCGAGTTGTAACCATTGGAGAGTTATTAATGAAAAAATTTTGTTCATTAGTTTTTCTTCAACGTATTATTTATTCTTTTATTTTATTTTGTACTCTGTGCTTGTTTGAAATACTTTAATTGTTTTTATATTCCCTGATTTTGTGCGCAAATTTGATCAACCCTTGTTCCGAAATTAGAGGGTGTCACAATCCTCCAGCTGCGGATCCTCAACCTTGAGACTTGAACTTCTAATAAAATGAAAAATAAATCGTGAGTTAAACCTTACGAGCAAGCTCTCTCTACCAGGCTTCTGAAAATAAGTAGATCATCTATGATCAAAATTAAACCTAATAAAGTTTTAAGTTTAATAAAGATATACATATATATAAATAATTATATACAATATAACCTTCACTTCCATTAATAAGTTCATTAATTTTCAAAACCATTAAATCATGATTAAAATATAATCCTACCTAAATCAATCCATAACCTCCTTCTCTTTTAAAGAGAAACCTTTTAATTTTAATTCTATTTTAAATAATTATTTAATCATTTAAATAATAAACCATAATCTAAGGAATAATTCCTTTAATCCAAAACCCTATAACCACTAATGATGATTTTATTTATTTAAATCATAAAGTAAAGATTTATACTTTGACAATTCATCCATGCCTTCTCCAATATTATTTTATTAATATATATATTTATATATATATAATAGTACATTAACTTGTATATATATAATAGTACATTAACTTGTAAATACTCAATTATTCTAATTTAAGAATAATAAATCATAATCCAACATATACATACAATAACCATAGACGAAATTTTAATAATCTAATATATAGTAATTTAATTACGTTTTGGCAAATCAACCATACCATTATAAATATATTTATTTATACATTGACAATTCAACCATACCTCCACAAGTATATTTATTTATACATTGGCAATTCAACCATGCATCCACAAGTATATTTATTTATACATTGGAAATTCAACCATGCATCCACAAGTATATATATTTATACTTTTAAACTAGCAACTCATATATGCTTCCTATTTATATATTTTATTCATACAAATATTTAGGTAATATATTTAAATCTTTGGCAACTCATCCACACCTACAATTCCACTATGTACCAACCTTAAACTTAATAACACTAAATCATACACAGACATCTTATGCATATTATATGCATAACATTAATTTAATAACCAACCTAATATGATTTAATCAACCATATTATTATACCAAATAAGAATAATAATCTTAAATGATATATATGCATACATATATATTATATAATATATATGTGTAATACCATCCATAACAATATTTAATTATTTAAATCATATATATACATATATATCAATATATATATATATATATATATATACATATCTTATATATCTCTCCATACTTATCCTTAACAATTAAACCATATATATATATATATATATATATATATATATATATATAAATATATGTATATATATATACTTCCTTCCGTAATACTTATCCTTAACAAATAAGTGCTACTAAATATAGTAGTAACACTCCACAACTCTCAAAGCCCTAGGAATATCTCTTACAGTGTTCACTTTCAACCTTAATGAGTTTAAAATAAATTCTGGGACATCACCGGACCCCATTGGAACTTTTTGAGACATAACACGAATCCCTACGCTCCCTCACGCGCCGCCACACTCTACTATACACACTGCACGCACCCCATGCGCTCAGGTTCACTGGTAAGCGCGTCTATGCACATGCATGCGCCCTCACGCGCCTGAGTCACTCTCACTGTGAGGTGGCAGCTTCTGGTTGGCTTCTCCTTTTTATCCTTGTGAGCCACGAAGCACTGGATTATTATTCTGTTGACCTAAATAAATCTAAGGTCCAGATAAGTGAGTGTACCATC